CCCCCACTTGCAACACAGGACCCTTTTTCCACCTGGATCCCAACTATTTTTGGCCCTCATGTCCCTCCGTCGTCGGACTAAACTCGCCCCCACTTCCTCGCCGCCTCGGCCGTATCTAGACCCACAGCGTGTAGCACAGACCACGCTTCAATACTGAGCATAAATCAAAAATGTCTGCGTCAAGCTCACTGCAACACACTGCTGTAAGAGTATAACCAGGAACCGAGGTAGGAGGGCAAATTAGGTTTAGCGCCACCGCAGCACGGGAGGAGAATTACGCCCAGGAGCAAATGGATAAGAATAGACCGGAGAAAAAAAAAATATGAATCGATTCTCTTGCGGACGTGTCGATGCATCGGATCGTCAGCTGTTGGATCGATGGATCGATACAAAACGATTATTATTTACACCCCTAGTGAATAGGGTGACCAGACGTTCCATTTTTCCCCGGACATGTCCTACTTTTCATACCTAAAATAATGTCTGGAAGGAATTTCTAAATCATCCGGGATTTCGGTCGACTACTGTGCAGCAGAACCGAGCCGAGAGCTCCGGGGACTGGGGGCGGTGCGATCGAACCCAACCCGGTAACGGTAGCCTGGACACTGGTGGCCCTGTGGGGGACAAAAGAAGTGTCCTCCTTTTCAGAAAGCCAAATCTGGTCACCATAGGTGAACTGTTTTGCATAGTTCTTGTCAAACACTTGGATTTATTTATGTTGTTCATCTCCTCCATTAAAGGTTAAACATGGGTTTTTATAGGACTACATTAAACCTCGTGATGCAGACAATAGTTATTGGATCTCAGGGTCAGTTTAGCTGCATCTGCGGGTTTCAGGTATTTAGAATAGAATAAAAGAACTTTTATATATTTCCTATATACTACAGATGCCCTCAGTATTCAGGTTCACTTGTGTTTACATTAGTGCCAGCTGATGGTTCACAGTAGATCTAGAAAAGCCCTCTAACAAACAGAAACAGACATGGCATTTTTGGTTTTCACCTACCGGAGTGTATGAGCATATGCTGTTTCAGGTTTTGAATTCGTGTGAATCTGACTCCACAGGTCGGACATTGAAAGGGTCGATCAGGGCCGTTGGTGCCGGGTCGAGCTGAGGGGCTTATATAGAGGTGGTATGGATACTGAATACCTTCCAGCCTAAAACAGATACCAAAGATAACTTCAGTTAAAGGGCATGCATGGCATTTTCTAAAAAGAGGCATTTAAATCTCACATCATTACAACAAGGGTTCCATTTATTTCTGGCATTAAATGACTGTTTTGATCTTTGTGCAACGGGAAATTTTAAGAGAACAGACTGCAGGCTTTGATGCTCAATTAAGATTTTTTTTTTATGGGATTTTGTTGTGTTCACATTTCTAATTATATGCGACCTGTATGTGATCTCCTGTGTGAACTGCATTCAAACAAATTAAGTGCCCCACATGCGCAGTAGAAGCCGCAATGACGTTACAAGCAAGCAATCGCTGTGTTTATGGAAATAAATATGATGCTAGTGCTGCAGCGCAGGTAGCAAACTTTCATTTCTTTCCCATCCTCAGCAAGGTGGAAAATTAAGACTGTTCTCTGCATTATCGTCCACAATTATTGGTCGGATGAATGCGAAACGGGTCGCATTTGAAAAGATGAGATACGTATCAGATTCAGGACCACATAGCCAAGAGGTCTGGATGTTCAGACTGTCATGAAAAGATCAGATACAGGTCCCATTAAGGAAAAAAAAAAAGTTTAAAGT